TATTAATTAACTGTGAACAATATTAGTGTGGTGCCTAGAATCCCTCCCGGCCAGCTCTAAGGGCCAAGGTGGCCTGTGCCATCTGTTAGTCCTAACTTAATCTGCCCTGTGCCTTCTGTGCAAGTGCCAAGCTATTCCTCCTTGCACTGTCATGCTGGGTGGGAAGAAAGGGAGACTAAAAAAGCCCAGGCTGGTTTATTTTTATGTTACAAAGCAGTCACGGCCACGGGTGAACAGATAAGCAGTGGCGTGGGCAATTTTGCAATAGCCTTGGCATATGAATACAAAGTCACCTCCTCCTTTGTCTTTAGAGATACCTGCTGGCATCCCTCCAAAGCATGACTCTAAACTGGCTTTTCCCGTTTTGTTTTGTTTTTTTAATATACTGTTAATTAATGAATGAAGCAGAGGCAAAAATACACACAAACACAAAGGAATAGTTTTTAACCTGGCTTGATTAATGCTGTCAAGTTGTACATCTGAGTGTGAGCTCAGTGGGACTGTTGCTTTTGTTTAATACCACAAGACACCTCAGTCTGGATTGTTGCATTACAGTACAAATAAAAAACAGAAACAAACCACATCTGCATCATACAAGGTGAGAAGAATATGAGAATTCTAAATATTTACAGAGAAGGGCAAGTGGGGAAACCACAAAAAATATTTACATAAAAATACATGAGCTTGTCGGCATATACATTTTACACCAGTTCACAAAAAAGACACTATATAAATTAAAGTGAAGGGAACGCCAAAGGTAACCCAAGACTTTCTGGGATGTTTCTCTCATGCGGCTCAGGGAAAGAAAAATCAAGTCTTCTACAGCAGGAAAATGAACTGCAAAACAACCCTTTGCCCCCCCCCCCCTCCCCTCCCCGCAACTGGACGAGGCAAGACTCTGCACACAAAGGTATTACGTTGTATGTTTGTTTAAACCAGACCATGCCTTTCAACATTGGATTGCTGTAGCACGAGGCTCTGGGAAAAGAGTTGCATGCCTAAGCCGCCTTTAACAAAAGTAAGTAAAACAATTTCTCATCCAGATTTCCTAACACGTGACACATCACTCCAGTCAATGCCCTGTCAACGTACTGATGAATGGCAGAGTACACACGAGGTTCTGTCCCTTTCTGGGGTTAAAGAAGAACAGTATGTTTTCAAGTTGGTTTTGGTTTTGTGTAGCAACTTACTACCACTGTGCAATCCTTACTGACCCCCCCCTTCCAGTGATGAGCATAAAATGAGGATCTCTGGAAAAGACATAGGCACAAAGTTGTGGGTGTTTTGTCATATATGCATATAGATTTCACCTGATAAGACTCTTAAAAATCAGAAATTAATGCTTTCCTTAAGACTTAATAGGGGCTAGGTCCTCCTTACTCACCTAACATCTGCACTCCCCCTTTGCCAGGGAAGGTCTCCTATGGGTCGCACGTTCCACTCCAAAGCAGAGGTGGAAATCCAGAGTTGGAGTACGCTATTGGACCCTAACTCTTGCCTGCCCTAGGGAGAAACTCGGCTGAAAACTTAAGAAGTGGCAATTTAAGATGCAGACAGCTTGTGGCAAGTATAAGGGAATTACTAAAGAACATAGCTGCTTGTCATCTTACTGGAGATAAGGTTAGGCAATAAGTTACTTCATCTGAGCAGAACTGGACTTGCAATAGAGTATTATTTGCGTTGCCGTCCTCAAGCTCTCTCCCACTTCTCTGCTAGGATGCCAAGAACTGAGCTACCGATTTAGCTCCAGATCATCCACCTTAGACATCTGGTGTAACCTCCCCTCCTTGCTCTGATGCACAATGCCCTTTTTACTCTCAGCTATGATTTTTTGAAAGATATAGCTGGATGTTTCAACTTCATTGTGAATCAATTAACGAGGATGCAGAACTCTAAGGACCATCAGATTAACCACACTGCAAGAGCAGAACTGCATAGTTCAGTATATGGCTTTGCGTGGGGCGGATGCGGGGGTGACTGCTGAATCGTACTAGATGTTTAAGCCATGGGCAGTGGCAACACCAAAAGAAAGGTGCTCATCGGGGAAAAGCTGGTGCCTTAACCACGTTTTTTTTTTTCTTTGCTGTACTTGTGGCTCAGCACTGGTGTACAGAAGTTATTTTCGGTTTGCTGAGAGCTTCCAGCCCTTGAAGTACACACTGACGTGGCTGTGTGCAGAGGGATGGGAGGACACTGGGTATTAAGTTTTCTGCTGTGTGTCTCTTTTTTAATGGAGACCTCCTCGTTCTCAAGGGGAAGGCTGTTTGTAGCAGCCACCTAGGTGTACGGGTGTGCGCTTCTAGAAGCTCTTTTTGAAAGGTGCTGAAAGCTTTTGTTTCTCAGGGGATGAGAGGGTGCTTGGCACCTGGCACTTCATACAATGCAGTGAGCTGAAGAGCCCAGGCTCAGGCAGTAGTAGCACAAGACTGTAAGGAACAGAAGTTGTCCAGGGATGGCACTTGATCTCTAGAGGGAGACAGTGGCTTCGAGCAGGAAAATCCAGAGAGGCATTTACAATTAGCGGGAGCTGGATTCAGCCCCCTCGTAGTAGAAGGATAGTCCTGGTTAATATAAGGCCAAAATGGAGGTTAGGAGAGTTGCTGCGGGGGGGGCAGGAGTGGGGAGTTAAGGCTTTCAGAGAGAGAGAGAGAGAGAGAGGTTTGACCTACAGCTCTCATTACCTGAATCCCAAATAGCCTGAACCAAACACATTGTCCCTGCTTCAGCTGGAGAGCTCGGCAGGTAACTGGCAGCTGTGGGGAGACTGTGCTACAACTGTTGAGGACTGGCACTAGTCCGAACACAATGCACACCTCTATCGAGAGAGCACATACTTAAACTGGACTCCCTTGGTGAGCTTGCACCGAGGAATCTGGACAAGTCAGCCTTTCCTAGGGAGTGAGCTAGCAATGTAGACAGGGTGGCCCACAACGTGGCTCACCTAATGGCCCCTTTCTATATAGTTTTCTTAGTTTTCCTTAAAAGAAAACCATTACAAAAAGCATTCCCTCACAACCCCTCTACCTGGTAATTACTCACAAGGAGATTGCAGTAACCTGGATCACAGTGCTGCTTTTTTTTCTTTTTTTTTCCTGACTGCCAGATTTATTTCTGTAACATGTAAGAACAATCCTTCTAAACAATATGCTTAAAACAAGAGCATTGCACAATAAGATAGGACCATAAGGTAGTGTTACTGAAACAGCCCCAGACAAGGCTACAAGATTAAAAGAAGCAAACAGCTAAAGACTAGTTAGCTACTAGAAGCAGGTTTTCCTAATGGTTTAAAAGCCCCAAAATAGCCATGAAACTTTTGTTCAAAAAACCATTTAAGTTCCCTCTAACTTTCGCAGCTGTGTGCTAACTGCAGGACCTCCAGGTTTTTAATAAAACATTAGAGATTCAAAACGGGTAGAGAAGTTCTTCAACCACACAGAACAGGAATGGCCTTGGAATTTATCAGTGAACATTTAAAAACTCCTAAATCTCAGTATTGCTTGCAAGCCCTGTCTAATGAAATGGATGTGCTTTTATAAGGTGGGGTTGTAGTGAGTCCTGGGAAGTCTGAGAGGCTGCATGCGAGATGCTGCCTGGCTGCTTTTACAATACGGAAAGCTTTTCAATACCTAGGACAACGTTATTAGTGTATTATAGAGAGTGCACTGGCCTTCTGTCCCTACTGCTAACTGAATACTGGTATGAGCTACACTTGCGATGCGGGAGCCGATACTATTTCACAGCGCACAGACAGCACGTAACTACTCTGTATGTGCCACGACTTCACAGGGATCCCCTTGCCATCACAAAACTTAAAGGTTACAGAAAGCCGCGTCCTGTAGACCTTCAGTTTTAGGTCAATAGGAGCATTCCCTGATCTAAGAGCTGCAGGAACTGGCCCAGGGCAAATAGCTGGTCATGCAGGTAACTCGGCACTTACAGAGTCATTCCCAGCTGGGAAGTTGGGCTCCAATTTGCAAGCTGGACATAATGCTATAGATTTTTTTTTTTTTTTTACTTTTAGAGTAACTTTTTTTTTTTTAGAGAGATGATACTGTCTGGCCAGCCACAACATGGTATTAAATCATCTGGACTGTAGATAGCCTAGCAGTAAAGAGGAATTGGCATGAAATGGGTGTGCTGTTCCCAACTGTGTGTGTATGATTTGGTGTACTTGAAATGCAAACCTGCCCTACTTGGCTTCCACAGCTGGCCTCTGCTTACAATAGAGAAATTTAAAGTAATTTGATTTCTTGTAGTCAGAAGCAGCTTGTTAAGCAAGCAATTTAAAAAGTGCGTTGTATTTTGAACTTGCTTCAGAGCCTATTTCACAGGCTTGAAGTCCAAACAGCCTCCCCCCCACCTCAAAGCAATTGAAGTGGATCCACTATGCCTAAGCAATAATTTTAAAGGGAGAGGCAGGACCTCGGCATTTATCAGGAATAATTGGGAAGTCTTTCCCCCCCCCGCCCAGCTTTTAGCCCACTGTTGCTGCGTAACCTCAGAGGGGGCAGAACAGTGGTTCTTCCAAGGCCTGTCATGGAGACCCTTTCGTGGAAGCTAGCAGTGGGATGGGCAACTTACTACACACGGGGCTCACAGGGAGAACAGCTGCATGCACAGTCCATCATGCGCAGGACCATGGAGGCGTGGTGAGGAAGCGGTGGCTAACTGTCAATGTCAAATCCAGGGAAGGAAAAACTCTTCCTTCCCACCCCCTGCCCCAACAGCATCTCTTTCAGCTCTGCCCGGCCTCTCTGGCAACATCTGTGTGCCAACAGCCTGCCCTATCGTTCCAGTTGTCTCAAAACTACATGAAAAAGCTATATCTCTACTACATAAAAACAGTGAGTGGTGGGCTGGTAGGGGTGGGGCTGAAGGTGGGTTTGCTTTGCTCATCGGGGCAGGGTTGGGGTTTTTTTTTTCCATCACTGAAAAAATAAAACAGTCCGCTGTCCAGCAGAGGCTGCTTAGACTCTATCCCTCCTTCCCCCCACACCAGCTCACTCAACATGGACCTCTGTTTCAGGCCTCTGCAAACACAGCTCCGTTGGGAGGAAGGCTCCCTGGCCAAGGGCCGTGGCGTAAGTTCTACTGTGCACGTGGGTAAAACTGGGGGGCACAAACCCCCCTCCTCCAACATAGCCCCCTCTTTGGTGCTGAGGCATGGTATGGTAATCCTCCAAATTATCATACTGGGACACCACAGTCATAGTGCTTTGGCGTTTCCCAAGGGTTTGGTATGGGTAGAGGAGGGCAGAGTCCCTCTCCATGGTTTCGGGGTGTTGCATTCTGAGGCTGTGGCTCCGTTCGGGCTTGGGCGGTGGCGCCATGGGAGAGGCGGCATGCTCCTCCTCTTTATAGCAGTCTCTGGAGTGTTTCTCCATGGATGCGGTCGGCCTGGCTCGGGACCTCTCCAAATCCGGCCTGTCCTCTGGTAACCTCGCCTCCTTGTGGTTGAGTCTCAGGGTCTCCTGGTTCGCCGGGATGTACTTCCCGCCTGAGTGCTGGTAACTGATGGGCTCGGAGGGCTCTGGACCACCTTTGGGCCTGTAGTCGGGATAAGGGGGCCCATTTTTAGATTCGGAAGGCTGCCTATGGCTTGCTTCCTGCTGCAAGTGCGTCCTGTGTTCGTTTGTGTTGCAGCCTGGCTCATGCAGCTTCCTGTTCCGGATGCTGCTCTGCTTCTGGGGAAGGGACGGCTTCTCCGACTGCCCGTTCCCATAGGCTCCATGGTAGTGGGCTCTGTCTAGCTCTGGCTCAGGGTGCTGCATGTAGTAACGTTCGTCCCCCTCGGGCGTAGCTGCTTTGGCCGGGTACCTCCCCTCCTTCCCTTCTGCCACGGTGAGGAGGCCAGTTTTCCCAGGATCTGATTTGCTGCGCAAGTGAATCACATCCAGTCCTCCCAGCTCCTCCTGCAGCAGCGGGGCCACGTTATCATACTGGGACATCACTGGCCCTTTCACCTTCTGGCGTGTGCGGCTCTCCCGGCGAATGGACTGCATGCGGTACTTCTCCATGTCCTCGAGGTCCCACGACATGTACATGTGCTTGATGTCCGGGGCAGGGGGCACATCTCTGCTGATGAAGCTGTGCTCTTTGCCTGCCAGGTGGCTAATGAGGCCACCCCGAGGGTAGGCAGACAAGCTGGGATAGCGGTACAGGCCTTTGCTTTGCAGCCGGAGGCATACGGATGCAAAGTCTCGGCTGGGCAGGGGGTGGAAAGGCCTGACCCGCACAGTGCTGTAGGGGTCCAGGTCGTAAAAGCTCCCATCAGCAGTGGTGTAATAAGAGGATCCAGAAGAGCTGGAATAAGGACTGTACCGGTAATGTACCCGCCCGTTCTCAAAGTAAGGCTGCAGCTGAGTTACGTGGTAGTCGGAGTGGGGCTGATATGGCTTGTACTGATAGAGGGGCCGTGGGCAGTACACTGGCTCGTCGTCCGGAGGTACCTCGGTCCGTGAAATGGGGACGGAGCGGATGGCGGAGGCAGCAGGGGTGGGAACGTGCAGCGACTGAACCCTTCGGATAGTGGGGTAGGGTGGAGCATCCTCGGCATAGCTGGCGTTACGCAGGCCCGTTGGGCTCACGGAGGACACAAACTCTGTCCGGCTGCGAGGCTTGGAGTGGAGAGCTGAGGTGCTCTTCCCTTGGTTTGTGTAGGTGTTGTAGCGAGTGCCCGCAGAAGTGGGTGTCTCTGACCGAGGAGGGTAGGCTTGGTGCTGGTCAGGCTTGCTGTGGTAGGAGATGTGAGGAGGAACGCTCTCGGGCCTGTACTGATGGATGGAAGCCGGCTTGTGGTGCAGGTAGTTGTCTGGCCCAGAGGGCTCGGGGATGCTCTCTGGCTTGGGATGCGGCACGTACACAGACTGCAGGGAAGCGTGCTTGGGTGGGGGAGGTGGTGGTGGTGGCAGCAGGGCTTCCTCCACAGAGGAGGCTAGCATGGAGGAAGACAGGAAGGCATGATAATTGGAATTGTTGATGGCATCTGTGTTGTTCGAGTGCATGGCAGCAGCAATTTTGCTCTCCAGCGTTCTCACAGGTGGGACAGGGGGTGTAAAGCTGTAGGAGGAGTGAGTAGGGACAGACTCGGACCGCAGGTGCAGCGGGGGAGCCCTCGTAGTCTTTTCCAAAGGCTTTTCCAAATGGCTCTGGTGGCCCGTGGGCGCGGAAGAAGAGCAGCGGATGGCAGAACTGCTTTCTGGGACAAAAACAGCAGCAGGCTCGGGTGGCTTTTCAGGTGCAGTTGCGCCCCATACCTACAGGGAAGAAACCAGTAGAAGTTAGAGGCAAGCATCTTCCCCCCACCCCCCAAATCTGTAGTTAAATATCACAGACGCTTGTACGGATTAGTTCAATGTGAATTTTTCTTTTTTTTTTTTTTTCCTGTGCCTGGTTTCTGTTTGCTGTGGAGAGCTAGTGCTGCTCGCTGTAGAAGAGGAGACGTGTGGGTTCCCTTTTGCAGCAAGGGCAGCGTGGTGCCTCTGACAGATTTCAGGACCTGTCACAAATGGCAGCAGAGGGGCTCGTGAGGGCTCTCTCTGCAACTGTCAAACTGGAGAAAGGGGAGGAGGTGGCTGTCTCTTTAGAGCAACAGGTTAAAACTTTTACGCAGTCTGCTCATAAATGTACTTAATGAAAATGTACCTGGATTTAAACTCCTCGCGCCCTCCTGAGCAGATCAAGTAGTGTAATACAGCAGAAATCCCTTCCTTAAACGTGGCTACAGTGCTTAAGACGGGCTGCAGGTGTGCATGTTTCATGGGCAGCAGGTAGTTTGGATTTCTGAGTGAACGCTTCCATGTCTAACTCGCACCAGGAATCTGACCTGCTTTACTGAAGAGGATGTTGGAAGAGGATATTGTCAGCCTCAGTGAAGAGAGGATGCAAAAATTCTGACTTGTTTCTGAGCACTTCTAAACTAGCATTCCCTGTATCGGTCACCCCAGCGGATGCTTTTTTCCCCTTAAAACCAAGGAGAGCAGGTCTATCGGGATGCTCCCTTGTGTTCACTGAGGAAATTCTGCGCTGCTTTCCTGTAAGGCTGTGTCTGCGTCGTACACGCGTAATTTCCGGTAACCTGTGAGTCCCCTGCCTCTTGCCACTTGGATTCGGACCAACTCTCCCAGAGCTCAGCCTCTGACAATTACAGATGAGCTGTGCACGGAAGCTGCGCTTGCAAATACGTGCGAGGCTGGGGGGCACATCCACGTACCTGACTGGAACTACTCGATGCTTTTGCGGAGGCTGCTGGCACTTGTCCCATTGCCGACTGGTGATCTTGCCTCTGCGGCGGGGCTGGCTGGCTGGTTGCGAGTGTGCACTGCGCAGCTGCAGCGGTGACGTCTGCCTGAGTTGTGGCTGGACCTGCTGGCCCACGGTTAGGCTCAGTTGCTGTTGTCTGGACGGTTGCTAAATACGGCGCTGAAGCCGGGGTGCTTTTCTCCCCGGCAGTTATGACAGGAGGAGACTGAAGTTTGTCATCAGCTGTGCAGATAGGAACGTGGTGCTTGTCCCCAGACATGCATGCACGGAGGTGGGGCTTATCTACAGACAAGTCTGTTGTGGGTGGTTCCCAGTCAGGCAGTGCACCTGGAGTATGGTGGTGTGTGTGCTCCCAGTCCCCAGCATGGGAGGGGAAGTGATCTTTGTCCCCCGGTTTACCAGGATGGAAGCTGGACTGCTCCTGCTCCGCATCTCTGCTACCAGGCATGTCCCCAGGCATGCCAGTGTGGAGAGGTGGGGGGTCCCGGTTTCCAGGTGCACCTGGTGGGTGGTTCTGCTCCCCGGGTGTGCTGCTACCTTGGAAATCCTGCTCTACTGGTGCACCAGTCTGGAAGTGAAGTCGGTTCTCGGGCAGACCGGTATACAGGTGGAGCTTGTCTGGAGCACCAGCAGAGAGATGGAGCTTTTCTAGAGCTGTGCCAGCTTCAGCCTCTCCGTAATTTGTGCTTTCAGAATGAGCATCTCCTGGCCTTTTCTGAGACTGAGCGGATGCTTGCTGTGCGGACTCGGCTAATGCTAGGGCTAGCATGCGCGCTGCATTTTTCGGAGGAGGAGGAGGGATAAGAGACACAGAACTGACGGGAACAGGATCCTGGGGGGAGTCGAGGGCAACTGCTCCTAATGGGGGGAAAATCGAGAGAGAGAGTGATTTTATGTTACCCAATAAGGAGAGTGACCTAACCTTAACGACTATCATAAAAAAATAGATGCTTTCCACACTTTCACAGTGGCAATTCCTTCTGATGTGAAACACTGTATCTTCTGTCTCACACGCAAACGCTGCTCAATAGCACAGCAGTTCATCGCAAAAAGGAAAAAACACAAGAGATTGTCTAAAGGCTCCTCTTGCATTTCTAGAGAGGTAGGAAGTAGGTAGCAGAGAATGAGATACCCTTACACAATTTTGATCATAAGGTTTTAGGCGAAAAGGTCCCTTCTTCGAGTGTTGGCAGACTTTTAATTAAAAAAAAAAGTCTTAGATGGTCTATTGGCTGAAATGATTTAGAAGGACATGCTATAGATTTTCACGTATGACAGGATGGGGAGGAGAAAAAAAAGTGGTATACAAAGTATTATGGAAAATTATCTGAGATTTGTGTGATGTAGGGAGAAGGCAGAGGTTAAGACCTTACTGATCTGCACAGCCCTGCAAGACACTTGTGATCAGAACTGACGGGCAATCCCCTCTCCTAAAAGGCACGCAGAGGAGGACGTTTCTGAGAGCAGGTCCCCTTTGGAACTTAAAGAAAGAATGGAGGAAAATGCACTGTACCTGGCTGTGTGTGTCCAGTGGGTACAGTCTTATTCTGACTGCTTGACATTGGTCTCTCCCCTTCTTCTGGCAACTCTGGTTTGCCAGCAGCCACTAGCTGGGCATGCTGTAGCTCTTGGTGGGCTCCTTCCCCTGCTCCTGTTTCACTGTTTTTCAGGGGCAAGGACATCTGGGTTGGGGACCTGTTTGTGATATCAGTGATGCCAATCCCTTTGCTCCAGCTGGAAGCAGAGGAGTTTCTGGATGGGATGGGCACTCCTCCAATCGCTTCCGACATGCGGCTGGGCAGTGCGAAGGAGACAGGTTCTGATGTAGTCAGCGGCGGAGATTTGATGGGCTTTCGCCCCATCTTGGGTGAGAAGGCATGGGGTTTGCAGGCCTTCTCTTCGGCTGGGCTCAGGTCCAGAGTAAAGAAGGGACTCATCTTCTCTTGGAAAGGGGAGACTGGCTCAGAGCTCGTGGCACTGCCTGGTGTCTGGGACTGGCTGCCTGATTCTAAATCCTTCTTTAGTAGGCTCGGCTTCTCCTTATTTATACCAACTGACTCCAGCAGGGAGGTACTGCTATCCAGGCACTCGGACTCTGCTTGGGGCGGGCTGCACTGAAAAGACATTGGGTCAAAATCCAGGCTAGCAACTCCGATATCCGGTGGGCTCAGGTCCACATCCTCAGCAGATCGAGGAGAAATCAGGGCAGGAACGTGGATGAGCCCCTCGTCCCCATCACTGTCGTTGTCGTGGGGAAGGTTGTCGTAAGAATTGCAGCGATTCATGTTTCCTAAGAGCTCTCCGTTGAAGGAAGCAGACAATGCATCGCTACTGGACCTAGGTCTTCTGGGTCGAAACAGTTTAGATTCACCTAGGAACGAGTAGATACGTACGGATTAGTGTCAAAACCTTACTGTCCAGGAGGAGATGGTTCGGTGTTGGTTTTAAAGTAGTCTTAAGGCGGTGTGCAAGAGGCTCACCCGGTGAACTCTAAACACAAAAGTAATGTAGTTAGCAATAACTGTTAATTACGTTTGCTCAAACTCTTTTACAGCAGTTGTCAGGTCCAATTTAGTCTGAAACGAAGCTGTTTGCAAAAGCAAAACTAGTTTTAAGCGTGCTGTAGACCTAAGGCTTTCTCAGAAAGCATTTTCCTTCCCGATGCCGTCTTTTTCCACCTTAGAATAGAAAGGGGGAGATGGCAAAGAATGAATGTAAGGGGTGCCGGCTCTACAAAAGCGGGAGGCTTGCCTTTTTTACCTTGGAAGGGAAGCCAAGACCTGAAGAGCGTTTCTCTGTGACACCCATCTGTGTTGGGCAGCGGTAAGCCGCTTGGTTAATTAGCAAGTCCAGCTTTTACTGGAGGGATGGAAAATCAGCTCTGTGGAGTATCTGCAGTCAGTGATGTCAAACTGCCTTTTTTTAATCCACACGCATTAGAAGTGCAGGTACAATTTTGTCTTACCGTCAACAGCATGTAGAGAGGTAAGCGATTCTTCGCTTTTAGCTGAGCGAAGAGTCCCGCTGTCTCCTCGTCCACCTAAGGAAATGGAACCGAGACAGTGAGAAGCTGAATTACAAAAGTGGTTTCTATTTGGCTATGTAATGGTGGCAGAAAAAACAAATGGGCTTCTAGCAACAGCACCAGTGTCCTGAGCGTAATGGTTGTGCTTTTTTGTTTTGGGGTTGGGTTTTTTTTGGTTTTGTTTTTACTCCACAGCCCTTAAAGAAAACCTTTATCCCGATCGACTGTTAATACGCTGTACTGTCTAAGACAGAGGTAGCCCTGTTTTGCACGGGAGACTGGCCTACAGAGGTCCTGTTCAGCCAGTCCTAAAGGACATTCATATAATGTGTTTATTATTCTGAAGACTATAAGGGTTATAATTTGAAAATGGCACCAGGGAGAAGAGGGGATAAAAGTCCTCACTGGCCCATGTTTAGGGATTTGTGGTGTGTTTTACCACAAAAACATATTGCTGCTATTTTTTAATTTGGAAAGGGCTGAAAATTCAGAGTCTACATACACTGGATGTGGCTACAAAAGGCTGTTGGATGCCTTCTCTAGTTACGCTGGTATAGCTTTTGGGGTGAACGTGTTTGTGGAAAAGTGCCTTTACCTAGTTTAATTGTGTGTCTTTTGAGAGCAGCAAAGGGAGCCAGAACTGCATTCTTGTTTCATAATAAGAGCATCAGAAGGAATTATGCTGAGACTTATTATAGCGGTGCCCATATATTATTGTCTTTCAAAAACTACTCTGAGAAAAGCGTTGGAGGAGTGTGCGCTCTAGCAGGTTTGGCTCTTGAGCTAATGCAAGATCCATTTAGGAAAAACAGCAGTTAACTGAAGATGTTATGCGTGGCTTGAACGCTAGAAGGAGATAGAAGCACACTGTAACCATGAATTCTGCTTTGCTGAAAAACCCCAGGTTTTTGGAAGCTGGATTTGCACCCTTACCTGCCAGGGCTATGGCTTTCATTTCCGAGGGCTCACTGGGATTGCGCTGCAGTTTGCGTTTGGACACAGATGATGACGATTTTCCCAGGTTGAAGAAGGAACGCCAACTGCCAACTGGCGATTTCTTCATCTTGCTGGGCGGTCGTTTTCTGGAGTGAGAAAATAGAGCAAATCGTTGGAGGGGGAAGCTGCGTTATTTAGTTCCTGCTACTGGTTGGTTGTTATTAGCACTATCCGGTTTCTGCTGAAACAAAGCTTAGAAACTCGGTCTCTTTAAAAGAGCTGAGGATGTTTGCATTCTTATAGCTCAGCCCTAAAGTCTTGCTGGGTAAATTCCACCCAACTATGCAAAGCGGGTGCAATGCAGGTGAGCGAAGGCTCCATACTGGTACAGCACAGCAGCTAAGGGATGGCTTTTGTTTAGCTGGCAGATGCACCAGCTCTCTGAGGAACTGTGCAGCTATAAAAGGTATTCAAAAGCATCTCTCGCTCATGCTGTAAAATCACATTCGTCTCCTCCCACTGCCGTACTTAATTTCTAGCATCATCAAGTCTATCCAACTGCTCCACTTTGAGGGGAACCTGGATTTGTTACAGGCAATTAGTCCTGAAATCTGGAAAACCCCAATGTTTCCAGGCGTTTACCCTGCTTCCGTTTCTGTACGCATGACTAGTACAGGCATCTATATGCATCACATACAACATGGCTTCATACGTTTAATGATAACCCTGCTAAAAAGGAGGGGAGGGAGTGGCACAGAAGTTACAGGGCCAAACTAAGTCCACCAGACAATTGACGTAAGCTGAATCCTCAGAAAGTCCAAAGCAGGTGGAGAACTGGCCACAATACTTCATATATGACTAGTGTAAGTCAATATCGGCAAGTTTTTGCTGTAATAAAAAAAAACCACCCCAGTTATGACACATGCTGGAAAGGAAACTCATCTCTACCTTTCGGATGGAAAGTCTATGACCGTGTGGAATTTCCCCTGTAAAGCTGCAGGGCCTTCTCCCACTTCTATGTATTTGCTGTCTGCCACGATGGGAGAGTTGATCTGGGCTTGTGTCCGTGCCTGTGCCTCCTCCAGCGTGAGCAGCTTTGTGGAAGGAGAGGACACCAACAGAGACTTGGGCCGTGATAAAGAACTGTGCCCTGTAAGGGAGAACCACAGGCAAGCCGGAGAATCAGAAAACAGCAGTACAGAGATCAAAGCTCTGGGTCTGTGTGTCTAGGGAGGTGCTGTGTTTTTTCTAAATCTTTGTTATCCCAGCCACTGAAAGATGTGGTCAAAATAACCATTTTGTCAGAGGTATGTTTATGACAAAGAAGAAAAAAAATCTCAATTATGAGAGCAGCTTAGTGTGTTTTGAAAAGGAAAAGAAAAAAAAAAGGCAAGAGGGAAGCAGGTAGGTTAGAAACCTTCACTGACATACTTCACTTAAGCTTCGTCTGCATGCAAAAGTCTGAATAGAAAGTGATGGTTTTTCGTCTCGGAACGCTTGGCTTCGGTCATTCCCAGGCAGGTTCCACCTCGTGGTGCAACAGGAAATGCCACGTGTGACTTTAAGTTGCTACAAACTAATGTGCAGATGGACATAGTAAACAGAATCTAGCCCTGTGTCTTGCCCTTGGCCTTTTTACAGCTTGTGCTCGTTTTTGGAGATGAATGTTTCAATTTTTGTAAAAGTAGTTGATGTTGCCTCCTGCTGCTAGGATCTGTTAAGTCAGCTGGCAGCGTAGAGGAGACTGCTACAGAGGAGCACAAGGAGCCTCTTGCATGAGCAGCTGTCTTTTGTTTGACATTGCTTATTGTGCAAGTGTTTATATGGTTATTCTCACAGGACTTAAGGGGTTGGGGGGAAGTATGTCATCCCTTCACATCAACATCCTGGTTGGTTCCATTCCTACTACCATCCTTTTAGCATCGCAGCTCGTGTGTGTGCACAAGTGTGCACAGTCTCATGTGTGTTTCGTCAGCTATATATGCTACCCCGGGTGCAGTTTGGGTTCCAGCTGTATTTGCCATAGCCTTACCCGCAATGGCTTAAAGCAGGCTTGGGAATACCGCTTTCACCTCTTACGGGCGGGTACAGGCCAGAAGCCGTGCTCAAAAACAGAGGCGCTGGGAAGCGCTGAAGAGCCTTGCTGTAGCACAGTATTCCTGCGCTTAGCTGATACGCTGTGAAATAGCCTGACCCTCCTCCCCGCCAGTTTTGTGTCGAAGCGCACTGAATGCAAATGACCAAGTCATTAAACAATTAGCTGAATTTACATGGTCCATTCTAAGCCTGGATAATCATTTGGCTTGGATTCTTAGTGTGCTTATCTTCCCCTGGCAGAGCTCAGCCTGCTGTGGGCTATTACTGTTCAGCCAAGCTAACCTCTGGCTCCTATTGACTTAAAATTGCCTTCCAGTAGGAACAAAAGCTGGACTCGGAGCAACTCTGCTATCCTAAGTAGAGGTAGGGCTTGTTTAAAAGCGGGGAGCAGCAAATATACTGGAAAAACAGCAGCTCTCTGTACTCCACAGGTGGTGGTAACTGCACTGACTGTGCAGGCTTCATCGGAAGGGCAGGTTACCAAAGCAGATGGTACACGCTTAATGCTGCTTAGGAGTAATAATAGCTTGTGGTATCCACGTTTGTTGATCTAAGATACAGAGTAAACTTTCTTCCCGGTGCAACTCCGCTCGTTTTCAATGGAACAGGTCTACTTATGGTCTTAGTAGTTACTCAAGGGAATGTGTGGGTTCCAAGGCTGAATGGTATTTCAAGTGCTCCAGGGTTGGGCACAAATGTGTCGCAGTTCATTGCTCATGCTAAAGCCACAAATCAGCACCACAAGCAGAGAACTGGGGAATAGCTGTGGGGCCAGCGCAGACTGAGCCATGGGGCTGGATGGCCCTGCTAATTAACCCATACAGACTACGCGGAAGAAATAACCAGGACAGCCGAAGTCAGAATATTCCCTGTTGAGAGCAAGACTAAGTTTTCTCAGTGTCAACATTACTGAGTAGAGAGGGCTTTCTTTGAATCGGTTCATTTCTACTTATGTTCTAAGGTGCTGCTAAGGGTAGGCAGATCACGCATTGTGTTGTGCTGCGAGACAGCTCAAATGGATAAGCATGCAGGAGCATCGATGACGATGGTTTTAAAAAGAAGGGGAGGGAGCAGAGGGGACAAAGACTTAAGAGATTCCTTACAACTCCTCAGTGCTAGGACATAAAAGTAGCAGCCAAACGTTAAGAAGTGCCCTTCTGTAGAGCATCCTTGGCTTCTAAGAAAGGTACTGACAGCAATTTCTAAAACCGGGCTATATTTGCCAGGTTCTAACATCACAACCCTGGAAATGTGTCCTCTAGGTTATAGTAAAAACATATTTCAACTGTCCCAGGGGAGGCTCGGATACCCGTTAACTGTCTGCTACCTTTTGTGATCAAGGTAAAGCTAGTGGAGGAAGACACGCACCGGCTCCATCTCGTATGACTGAGCTGAGTTTGGAACTGAAGAGGACGTCCACGTGGTTCAAGATGAATTCCACAACTACGGACTGGATTCGCACCTCCATGAAGGCAGCTGTTCCACTGAAGCAGGCGGACTCGATCTGCTTTGATCTGAAGAAAAGGCGGATTAAATGAAATGCGAACAGCCAGAAGAACACGGGAAGATGCGCGTTTCTTTTGGGTAAAGCTTCGGCATGTCTTGAGCTATTGTGCCTGGCTGCTCAGGCAGACGAGGCTTTAGGGGCAGTTAGGTGATTAAATCTCATCAAAGCATTACACAAGTGATCATACTGGCTAGCGATGTATATCCACATGTTGGGTTCGAGTCTTACTGAAATGGCAAGAGGAACGCTGGCTCTAAAAGGAAAAGGAGTGTGTGGCAGGTCCAGATCTAGGTAAACGAACTGCACGCGCAAAGCGGGGAGCTTTTTGTTAACGTATTTCCAGATACTGCAAATGGCAGCAGTTTAATGCAGTGGCATCGTACAAAGCTCACTGTGGCCTTCTAATGTGATTTTTTTTCCCCTCTAGCAAGGGGAATGTCTCCAACTGGTCCTGCTCAGCAAGTACCCCAATATTCACAAAAGCAAACTCCAACAAGAAGATCATTTGACTGCTTGTGGGTGAGTTGCCAGAAAGGAGAAAAGAGCTTTACTCTCATTAACTGCACCCAGGGGAATCTACGACTCAGATTTCTCAGGTTGGTAACAAAAGCAGTCCAGAAATCAATACAATAGAGGCCAGCATGATTTTTTTTTTCCTTTTAAAGCAAAATTTTAAAACTACACCATTAATTTTAAACTACTCTATTACACACCTTCAAAACAAATTTTAGGGGCCAGATTTATCCAAGATAATTTCCGTAAGTTGGAATTTTTGCAGCTAAAAGCTGTCAAATTAGACTCTAGAGACTTACGCACGATGGGAACAAATCTTCCCGGATGATCAAGGACGCGCTGGTCTCATCTAACCAGGAGGGGGGAAATTATCATCTAGAAAGGAGGGTTGGGGCAATCCTTCCTTGCCACTACTTGAACCGCAGTCCGTGGAATCGCATTGCGGTGAGACAGAATAACACTGGGGTGTTCTCTCCAGGGGGCTATTTTACATCACTAGTTCAGGAGCTCACCAGCTGGTCTCGAGCCCCTGCTTAGAATAACTTCCCGTTAGGAATTTTACAGGAGGAGAAGAGCACATTTGGATAGAAGAAAGGAAGATCTCTTCCTCAGCTGCTGAAAGCTACGGTTTTCTGGAGAACAGGTATCTGTCTGTTTTTTATAAATATAAAAACTTGTCTTGTATAGAAATGGGAAAATAAAGATAGTACCTTAGGAGGTTTGGAGCCCAGACGATTGCCAAGTTCTTAGTGTGCATATTCGTGATGGAGCAGTAATCAGCTAGACGAGCTAAGTGTCTCATTAGGAACTCCAGTGTCCTGGAAAACAGGAGGTAGGCAAATGTTCAGCACCAATGAGCAAAGCCATGCTGCAATTTACAAAACAAAAACCCCAGTTCATTACTTTCTTTTGGTTTGACAGCTCACAGAAAAAAACCACGTTGAACCGTGTACCCTAAGACTGATGGTAAAGCTGTCTTTAGCAAATAATTACGCCGGGGTGGGGCAAGGGGAGCCTCTCCTGATTTGTCCAGGCTCGGTGAAAAGACGGTCAAAGCGTCTGGTCTCAGTCCAAGGGCTGGATCCAGCAGACACTGCGGTGGATGGCAATAATCTAAATGCCACCCGCACAGCAGGATCTAGAACCGGAGTGCCCTGGAAAGCCATCGCTTGGCTGCTTTACTGTAACACTGTGCAGCAGAAGTACATACACCCTTCGCACTGTATGTGATAGCGCTGCACTGCTCTGTGGGGGTGGGAAAGGAGGTTGAATGTTAATCTTGGTAAGGGGGGGGCAGCATTTATTTAGACACCCCAGGACATTGAAAACCAGCAAATTGTATCCGAGTTCTACTTAGGAACTTATTGGCTACAGGCTCCCTATAGGTATATAAGGCAGATACAAGGTTAAACATTAAAAAAAATTCACATTAAAAAAAGAAATTTTTTTTTTTTTACTATTAAACACTACTGCTCCCCCTGAGCATGAAGTGGTAATGAAAATGCTGCATTTTCCTCCTCAGTGCTGTTGCTTGGCAGCAGCCCTGGCTCAGGTCTGTCTTGCTGCATACCCTATTTTGGGGGGGGGAGCAGATGGGGGGCTTTGGGGCTCAAAATTACACCACTGGCCAAGGCCTGCGCTGAAGGTGGATGGTTGTGGGTGGAAGCAAAACAACAGACATCTGCACTGCCCTGCCCAAAGGCTGGTTACCTGCATGGCTCTTCCCATTGCAGAGTAGCAGAAAACTAAAGTGTTTTTTTTCCTTTTCCAAGCAAACCTCAGGAAAGGAGAGCAGCAGCGGCTCCGTCCATCTACATCATTTTGCATCGGGGTGTCTCCCACGCCCCCCTCTCTGGTCTAAGACTAAGCCACACACGGGCATCGCAATCTCCAAGTTGGACAAGTTTGTTACCCCCATAGAGTCATTTTAGGGAAGAGGTGGAACACACCAGAGAACATTAGACAAAGGAGATGATGAGTTTATTTCTGAGAAGGCCCTGCCCCCTTAATTAACATAAATAAAATATTACACTTTGTATTAACTAAGTACCAGCTATTACACTAATTAGTTATGGAAAGAGCAAGTAGCACACATCGATAGCTTGTAACACATTAGTTAACCATTCTAATTAGTTAAGACTAATTATGATCTATAATAAGTTATTGATATTCAAATACTATATAATTAGTTATTTATACCACTCAGGCACAGCACTGCAATTGTCCAGCTAATCCCCATACATTGTAATAATTTGTTAATAACATTTTAATATTAATTATTATGAATAGTTATCAAAGAGTTCTCAATATCTAAATAACTGTCCTCATGCATTACAGCTGGCCACTCAGGGTGCAGAATCATAACTGGTTCTACAAATTAACATACATTACAATAATAAACGGCGTTATGATCCGATATTAATACACTACAAATGGTCATCTACACCACTCAGGACACCGCATCACACCTGGTCCGGCTACTTACAATAGTTATTGATATTTAAATAACTCTTTCAACAGACATTGTAACCAGCCATTTATACCAATTACAATACGTAACTAGAATACATAATTAGTTATTAGTACTATTTAAAGAATCATTAACATACAGTATTATACTTAGTTATTAATGCCAATCACCACACTTTTTAGTCTGATGCCCATTTACCGTACCCTGCCGTAATTTTTAATGCTAATGACCATTAACATGTTGTTTGTTATACTCAGTCAAGACTCATCACCATATATCACCACTTAGTTATTAGTATTAATTAGATTTGAATATATTATTATAATTAGCTGGTGATTTTTAAACACCATATTATAATTAGTCATTCTACTAGAGCATAGTTATAATTTGCTAATTACTATTATGGCGGGGGGGGGGGGGGGGGGGGGGCGGGGGGGGGACCAAATTAAACTGAAGGCCCGAACCAATTTTTGGGCTACATTTCCCTTTTTTTAATGGTGATTCCTAAAGCTGGTATTGTGCCCCCCGCCCCAATAAAACTATTTCCTTAGTGATACCAGCCTCTTCTGATACAAGAAGCTTGTATTTGCCTCCTCTATGTAGTTTCCACGGAAGTCAAATAAGACTATGCCAAGTATATAGCGTTTGTCTGGTCATGAGCTAATTAAAATATAAATCAACTTTATATAGCCATAAACCATTTTAATAGACAGAGGCACAGTGCAGCTTATCCAGGGAAAACTGGAATTGTATCATTTCACTCCTGAAACGCTAGCGATAATAAAATGCCGAGCTATAACCAGAGTAAAGGCTGCACTAACCTGTAGTGAGGAGGGGGCAGCTGTTGGATGACGTCGTGGATTTTAACCAACCGTTCTTCATCTGTAGCCGCAGAAACAGCGTCCTGGAACAAGGCAGGAAGGGATTTAGCTGCAAATAAGACCAGATACCTGCCACAGCACCTTGAACCACGTGGCCAATGTACTGTTCTGCAGTAGCGAGGCGGATTTTGTTGTTGTTCTCTACCTTCGGAGAGGCGTCTGTCTCTTGGGGACAGACCGGCACACAGATAATAGGAGAAAGGCCAAGTAAATCGAGATCTGGGCCACTTTATAGCTTAATTGTACAGAGCAATTCCTTGCAGAGGGCGTTCAGCTCCAAGTAGCATTTGCTTCTAATCCCACTCCTGTTCGAGAAATCATTGGGGAAGGGCAAATGATGGGGGAATTCTTGCAAAGCATTGGTAGTGTCCAAATAACCTTCTGCCAGGGCCCCAAAAGTGGAATCATTAGGGTGTGGCATGGGGGCCAAAGGCACGTCTGAGTAAACCTAAGGGGGAAACAGAAAAGGGACCCCAAACCTGGGGCACCGCTGCGTTTTTGAAATGGCGGGATGCCACCGGCAGTGGGAATTTGGTGTGCGGGTGGCACAAAGCGGATTGGTGTTTGTTAGGCTGGTAATTTTGGAGCTACGTGCTTCTGATCTCTCTAAAAACCCCAACTTAAGCAGAAGTGAGACAAAGAAAGGCGTGTGGAAGACAGGTTCAGCATTTGTCTCTTCGACCCATTGTAGATGAAGTCACGCTGAAGTGGAAAGTGAAAGGCATTGCCTCATACTTACTGAGAACTTCTCGTAGAGTTGGTAGGTCAGCAGAGGGTTCGGGAGTTCACGGAAGTACAGCTTGCAGAGGGAGCCCACGCAGTGAATGTCTTGGATGTAAATATCCTTCGTCAAGTCAGGAATCTGCTCGGAGTCAAACTCATGGCTGGAAATGAGAACAGAAAAATGGGCAAAGGGGTTTGAAAAAGAGGAATGAAAATAAAACCCAGCGCAAATTACAGTCAAGAAAAGCAAGGGTTTCCTGCTTTACAGGAAAAAATAAATACTTAGTCACCAAAGCCACACGACCCACGGTTGTGGTGCTGCTAGACTGGATTTTTCCAAAATGAGACTTTTTTTTTCCCCTCTTCTTCTCACAAGGCATTTTCAGTCGGTTTTACAACTGATTGGCTAGTCTGCAATCCCTTTTCCTGCAACAGGGCCTTTCACAAAGTCTCCAGAGAATGTCTTCCAAGACCATGGAGACAATCTGAATATTTAACGCCCGAGGGCTGTGACTGGGAGCTGCCCGGAGGAGGAGTGCCCACAGGTCTGAATGAAAGCTGCTGCCCCTTTGCATTTCAAAGGCCTGGAAATTGAAATGATAAAGCAATGCCAAACAGCTGCGCATGGGAAGTAGTGTGCGCAGAAATTCCTCGGGGACAAGCTGGTGAGCTGAGCACGCCTCTGCTACAGGGTGAAGAGAGCCAGGAACCACATGAAGAAAATGCCTGAGCATTCCCTTGGTTTTCAGAGAAAGAAAAACCAAAATCACAAACGTTCGTGAAATAAAAGCTGAGCTTAGAAGGCCGAGGGCTGGCTCGCTGCTCACGTATGTGCATGGAAAGTGCTGTTTCAAATTAGCGGGACAGATTTGCAGGGACTAGCGTGGTGAGTCAGGCCACAGGGAGCTGCGAGAACACGGCTGCTCCAGCTGAAGCTCGGGTTCCCTACAACCGTCTTTAAGCTGTAAACCAAAACTGCTTATCATCGACGCGGGGAGTCATCCTGTCTACACTACAACCACAACAATGTCGGGGGCTTGGTGGCAACATCCCTGGCTTCTCCCCCTGTCCAAGCCAGGCAATTTGTAACACAGAAGATGATAGATAAAACATGCCTTCGGCACAGCTCGAACACTGAGCTCGCCTCTCTCTGCCTACGGGACAGAACCAGTTTGCACCCGCGTCCAAGGCACCAGGTGTATTTGTAACTGCAGCGGTCAACCGTACATCCCTTACAAGGTCAGGAAGGAGCTCCTTCCTTCTCCCAGACACGAAGGCTGCCCGAGGGAAGCCGCTTATATTACGCCAGACTGGGGGGCAGAAGAGGTCTCTACTTCTTCAGGCAAGAGGGTGAACAGTCCACCCCGGTTCCTCATCCCAAAGACAGCACAGGAGGAGGAAATAAAGGTCTCTGCCCCAATCCTCAGCGTTCAGTATATACTGCTCCCACAGGCACGTTCTGACTCATCGCTCACTCACTCACTCACATCTGGGAGAGAAACTTATTTCCTGAACTTGGCTCCACGGAAGATGAGAGAGCTCAGAAGGGAGATCAGGGAAAGACACCAACCCACCCCATACAAATATACTCAGCCTTGGCTGAAATCCTCTGGCCATATCCTGCCGTACTCCTGGTACTCCAGTATATTTTCCCTAGGAATAAATCTCATGCCCTGTCAGAGACCTATCCCCGCAGAAGCAGAATATGAAGAAAGGGAAGCCCTACGTTCAGCCTTTTTTCTCTCTGCACTGGCTGTTTCGAGAACTACATGTTATTTCTTTTGACTCCAAAGGAAGATTTTTGTATTTTTTTTAGTAGAAGAATACGACCTCAGTGTCTCTCAAAAAAACACCAGAGCCAGGATACAGGGGGACACATACCACCTCAACACTCGCTCTGTTTTGCCTACCAGCCAAATAAAAGGCGGCTACTGCGCTACTGAAGAGCCAACTGCTGTCCCGGAGTAAATCTCCCATGTGGAATAAATTCTCTAACTTTCTCTCCAACCAAAAAGCCCTTTAAATCCGGGAGATCCAATTCTTCTATGTGAAACTTAAGAACAGTGACTCATTTATGAGGATACTGCAGCCCTAGCTTTGAAATAAGCCTAATGATCTGTTTATATAGCTGGAAACCACAGCAATGCAATGTGTCCTACATTAATCAAACACTTAGGAAAATCCGTAGCGATGTAGATGAACAACAGGGACAGCGTCTACAAGTTATGCCTCGTACTCCCTTCCTTTTGTCTTTGGAACATCTCAGAAAATTGAAAAATAGGCTGTCACTTCAGTCTCTCCTGTACCGGGGAATTACGCCATTGAAGTTTTAGAAAACCATTTTTAAAGCGCCTTTGGAAAACAGGGAAGGGGGAAATGGTCTTGGCAACACAAAGGGAAAAAATGGACTCGGGCAGCGATTAGAAAGATGGTCCAGCACAAGTCAAAATGGGCAATTAAAGGGATGTAACTGAAGCGAGGGCAAACATTTTATTCAGCCAAGACTGCTGTGGGCAAGAGCTACAATCGGAGTCTTTGGAGCCTGCACATCAAAGCCTCGGGAGCAGGTTTTTAAAATGGAACTTGCTGTGATGAGAAACAGGATTAAGCTGAACCAGAATAAGCCCATCCATACAAAGGTTTGTACAGTAACTGTACCGGCTCAAACCTGTCCACTGAACTTGGGAATAGCTGGTGCAAAAAGGATATCCTTCATATGGAAAATACCCCTTTGTTGCCTCTGCGAGGCCGTGGGCCTAGGATCAACACTGGAATTAGTCACATCCCACTAGGTTCCCTCAGCCCCTTCACAACAGAAAAACGCATACCAAATGATGGGGGGAAAAACAGCCTCACAGAAGGATAAAGACCATTTACCGTGATGAGAACAGCTCCTAACGCACCTAGCCTTTCCCTGCACCGCCGCGCGGCATGGCATTGCCACCCACCAAGAATTATGCAAGTAGTCTTTGCATGTTACCAATTAATTGCTAATATGTCAGGAGTCCAAAGCAGCACGGAGAAATATCAGCTGCTCAAAAGGGCTCCGGGAGCAAGAGGAAACAGGAATGAAATGTCACAGCACAGTGACACCAGAGCCTTCTGATACTCTATCCTGAAGGAAAACTTCCTGCAAAACGAATTCCACTGAACAACCCCGTGTTTCTCCAAAACGGCGGCAAACCTAGCGCACCATCCATCGAGCACCGACTGCACACCCGCATCGGAGCTGCTGGAACAGTCTGCCCCGCAACTGCCACAGTGCAGGCTTCTGAAAGCACAGCCTTTGAACCTAGCGCGTGCCTCATTCGTCCCGTGCAGACAGGTCTGTCAAACACAGCGCCCTTACCGTAGTTTCTGGATGTTGGACGCAATCCCAGACAGACGATATATTCCATCCACAATGCCATGTTTCTCGATGAATTCAGTGCAGCTCTTGAGGACCTGGGGGACTAAAGAACAAGTGTTGTTGGTTAGCTGAGTGTGTTATTAAAGTCCTAGTTCAGGCTGTGGTCTTGTCAGCTGCTATAAACTAAGCCCAGCTGGGCTACTGCTTTAGTTCTTCCTTAGAGGAGAAAGCCTGTGAGAAATTTAACTTTAGGAGTTGGTGTGGAAACCGGTCAGAGGTGTTCTTTGCTTTAAAGAAATGCCAGGATACAAATTGGGTTGAAAAAACTCAATTCTGGTCAAGCAGACAGGGCAGGTCCCATCACAACTCCCACAAGAACTGTGGTGTTAAATTCCATTCCAGAAGAGCTATAAAATTGAGTAAATACACTCTCTTTGGCTAAGGACTCCCTTTGTTTTCAAATCTATACAGGATTAACCGATACTGCTTGGTTTAAGCAAATGTAAACATGAAGGAGATGCTCCTTTCTGCACCAGGGCCAGGAGAGTTGTTACAACTGATAATTTCATCCCCACTGTCTACCGGAGCGTGACTGGATTTAGATAGCTACACAACATACCGCACGCTCACAGAAATTGCGGACAGACCGGGGTATGACAAAATGGAAAAAATAAGCCCAGAGGATATAATTAGGTGTCAAGTGAACATTCAAGCCGCTTCACCAGCCGATTCCTTCCAGTTGACTTCTCAGCCTCATGCAGCGTCCACCGCCGGAGCTATCTGTCCATCCTCGTGAGCTTAAGGAGGAGCAAATTATTTATAAAAGGGAGATAAAACTGCCCTGAACACAGGAAGAAAGTTAGGATTGAGCTCTTGTGAGCATCAGCAAATCTTGATGGAAAAAGCTCAGATCCTTGTGGATTCCTCTGCAAGCCACCTTTTTGCTACAGCTCCTGCGATGATCTAGATTTATTCTTACATTAGATGCCAGGTCTGATCAATTTGCCATGTGACACAGATTCTGAACAGGTCATGTGGCAAATCCCCTTATATCAAGCAGCAAGTGCCATCTGCCAGTCAGTTCTCCTAAGCGCTACTGAACTTAGATGCTCTGTGCTTTCCCCTCCCCAGCCGCTTCACTGCTTTTTTTCCGGCTTGCGACACACACTCACGCAGCTAGGGAAAAGACTCATTTTCAGTGGTTCCCTGGAAGTCAGCAGGCGCATCCTGGGCTAAGGGCACATCTGCTCTGCCCTCGAGCACAGGACAGAACGAAACCTGTAAATCTGCGTGGCACGTCAATCTCGCAGGCTCAGCTACAGTAGATTAGGCCCTGGACCCGCGATACTCAAAGATACCAAGAGACAGTCAAAACTGAGTCAGTCAGACTCTAGTATTGCGCTACTAGGCATTTACAGCATCTCACCCCGGTTTCCAAAGCAAGGCGCAGACTTTGGGGCAAGCAGAGCCCTTGTACGTTAAGCAATGGCATAGAAAGAGGCTTGGAAACCAAGTGCTGCTTTTTTTTTTTTTGGGAGGGGGGGAAACCAGCAGAGGTGATCAGCTCCTGCTCTCCCCTGTGGGTGCAATGGAAATGTCAACTTCCACTAATGCAGCCGGAAGACGTTTGCGGAAGGAAACCTCAGCATCCGCTCTGAAGCTAAAGGTACCTCTCGCAGCCTTGCGAGCTCAGAGTAGCACCACAATTGTTGGCATTAGGAATCAACCAGACACACATTTGGACATCTAAGCCAGGATAAGCAACAGCTTCTCACCGCTGAGTGAACACACATTTGGAGAGCATGTTGGTGAAATGTGCATCAGCCATCCACAACACTGTAAGCGACGTGTCTGAGCACCGAGCAGGCGGAACAGACGGCCCTAATGTTTCAAAAAACTTTTTTGGAGGACACCACTTACCCCTTTACGCAGAAAGACTCAACACCTCTTGAAGAGGAAACTTTTTAAGGCTTTAAGTGGACAAGGAAAGAGTTATATCATACTCAGGCAGTTGCCTAAAAGGGCTAAAATATGTTTTGCATTGCACTACAGCGTTAGGAGACAAGTGTGACCCAGGTATAAATCGGTGCAGCAAAGCAGAGATGAGAACAGCACCATCCATTGCAGGGAAGGCAAAGGACAAGGCTTTAGATTCCGACACAGTCAGCGGTGTCTTTTCTTCTGCGAGAAAAGAGAGCACCCTAGATTGCAAGACACACTAGACGCACGCTCATTTTGGTTTCACTGAGAACCAAGCAAGACGATGCGAGATGCCCGCATGTGCGTCTCTCCCCACCACCACCCATTACAAAAGGTGAGAGGTCACAAATCTCTTCAGTGAACGGAGCGAGGAGGCTGGGCTCAGCGCTGCATCAGCGGCACTGCCTTCTGCCAACTGCCCGACTACGAGAGTCGCAAAGGATTGGGTAAAGGAGTTTACCCAAGTTTTCAAGTGTCGTGGCAAGATCTGCTAATGCTTAGCTGCAAAATCCCAAAGACTTTAACGGTCCGTACTGGAATCTCAATAGGGGTCCCCTTGAAATTAGTAGCACCCGTTGAAATAAATAAAGAAGCAAACAAATAAATAGCACGTTCCCCGCCTGCCTAATTCCTACCAGGGAAGCTGACACCGTCTGAGAAGGGCGATGCACACACTGTGTGGGGGAGCCTAGACAGACAGCTCTCCTGTTTATCTACATACCGTGAACACCGCTAGGACACCCGCCCGCGCTGCCTAACTGAAGGCCCGTGCCACAGGGAGCCGGCTCTGCGTGTCTCCAAGGCCTTACCCTTCTGGGGTTTATCTAGCTGCGTAAACAAGCAGCACGGTAAGAATGGTATTTATGTACCAGTTCAGCTGAGCAGCAACCTGTTGCGACCACGTGAGTCAGGTCACGGGAGAACAGGGGGGAAGGTGAGGGATGCAGCACCAACGACACGCTTCCTGAAGTACTTCTCACGGAAGGTCTGGGGCACAGTTAGAATAATTAATACACACTGAAAAAATTCTAGCAGGCTTGTTCTACGCATTTCCTAATCTGGTTACCAGGACGATCTGTTCTTTAAGCTAAATATATCATGCCAGCACCACAGATATTTTGGGGGAATTCTGCATGGTTGGAAAAGTGACTGAAATTCAAGTAGGGCTATAATTATACTTGAAGGCCCTTTGCTGGAATGGCGAGTTGATTTTTCAACAAAGATGACACCTGACAATTACATGTGTGTTTAACCTCCCTCTCCCCTTTGAATCCCAAGCCCTTTAGTGAAATACACGTTTATATATTTCTGCATATACACACGTATGGAGGGAACAGCGTCTATTACCACCAGAATGGAATGGCAGGATGACAGCACAGGCTAAGACTTAATTTTGCGACTGTGAAGCATGCCAAGACCACCACCTACGGTGGCTTCTGACATCACTTTGTGACTTTTTCAGGTACCTGTCTCTGCCTATTGCATAAATCCCACCACTTCTCAGTGTTCGGGTCCTGATTTTGGCTTCTAGATCCCAAACCAGCTACCAGATCTGAATCAGAAAGGTATCTCACCGCCTCACAGCGGGAGACTGATGGGAGATTTCTTCTCATAGGACGTAGTAGGATCTACACTAAAATTGTATTACTGTTAGTTAATGACTGTGGTTTCCTGCAATTGTAACAACCAGCCTTGGTGACGCTGGTTGTATTAACAGCTGTTGTATTAGCAGCCATAAAGGCCCACCTGGCTCAGCACCCCGTTTCTGACAACCACCACGAGCAGGCCACTTTGGGAAAGACGCAAGGAGGGAACAAGCACAGGGTAACCCACAGTATATTCCTCCAGCCCCAACAATCCCCTGTGCCCAGAATTGGCGCCTGTGCTTATTAAACCCAGCACACAGCCCTTTCCAGTCCCACGTTCCCGGCAAGTAACAACAGCGTACTAATACTCACTGTTGGTTTTATTCCTTCTCTGAGCAGTACGGTCTCCAACCGCTGACTCCAGATAATCTCTCTGCGGTGAAGTCACTGACTCAGCTGCAGCCTGCTAAAACCTTCTGGCAGGTGCTACATTTGAACATCGCCCTTCGCGAGAATCTGAGCACCGTGCACATCTCCCGTTCCAAAATCAATCGCCTTCCCTCATTCCCTCCCTCCCGTCGCTGTCTCAAATAACAGGTAGTTCCAGGAAACAAAGCGCAAAAGGCTGGAAGTGTGGACGCATCAGCAAAGGAGACCCTAGCATATTTCATCACCATAGCAGCTAAAGGAATTTCTTCAACTCGTTCCTGAGCATCTCTCAGCTGGTTCGAAAGGTTTATTGCATCTCCTAGGGCTCGTTAAGTGGTTAATTCTTTGCCATTAAGAGGAAGCAGAAGTTTTATGGTTTTCATTCTGAAGAACATTTTGATTCATCTTGAAATCGGGCACGTTTCCTTTCCTCTCATCTTGGTTTTATTTTTTCCTTTTTAATCTTTTGTAACGTTCTCTCCCTGGGCTTTGGGAGGCTTGCTTTGTTTTTATTTTTTTTTAATTTTCTTAGTACGTTACTGGAATCGGAACTATTTGTTCAGCCTGGGGAACGAGGCCTCCCATCAAGCTCCCCTCTAGCAGCGTTGTTTTCACAGTATTACAGCAATAAGGTGAACTGCTGCACAAGCCCAGGCCTTTCGGCTGGTTAACGGACCATAGCACGCTGAAATGCAGCGGCTCAGCTGAATTCCACACACAGCAAACAAACGCGGAAAGCTAAACCTGCAGCCCAGCAGGAACAAGGAAAATTAAATAAACTGTCCTGAGCGCCACTCTGAACCGCCTAAACAAAGGTAATAACCATGGCTATCACGTACCTGTGGCGATACTTAGGAAGCATAGGAAAAGAACAGAACTGAGTGAAGGAGTGTCACAGAAGGTTAAGGGCTGTGTTCGGAGCCGCAAGAATATAAATTTAAACAATCAGCCACAAGATAAAGTTTAGGAGAAGGCAGCTCACTCTTCATTGTCCAGGCTGCCTTTAGAAACAGTGAGGAAGGATGGGCGCATGCAGAGGGCAGGGCGCCCCGAGAGCACCCGCTACAATACAAAAGGTGCAAATTGCATCGTTCCCCCGTCGAGATTT